ACATAACACTCCTCAGGAAATGCAAAAGAATGGAAATCAACAATCTCTCAGACCACAGGGCAATCAAATTAGAACTCAGGATTAAAGAACTCACTCAAAACCACACAACTACATGGAAACTGAACAACCTGCTCCTGAATGACTACTGTGTAAATAACGAAATTAAGGCAGAAATAAAGAAGTTATTTGAAACAAATGAGAACAAAGACACAACGTACCAGAATCTCTGGGATACAGCCAAAGCAGTGTTTAGAGGTAAATTTGTAGCACTAAATGCCCACAGGAGAAAGTGGAACAGATCTAAAATCAACACCCTAATGTCGCAATGAAAAGAACTAGAGAAGCAAGAGCAAACAAATTCAAAAGCTAGCAGAAGACAAGAAATAACTAAGATCAGAGCAGAACTGAAGGAGATAGAGTCATGAAAAACCCTTCAAAAAAATAAATGAATCCAAGAGCTGGTTTTCTGAAATGATCAACAAAATAGACCACTGACCAGACTAATAAAGAAGAAAAGAGAGAAGAATCAAATAGATACAATAAAAAAAGATAAAGGGGATATCATCACTGATTCCACAGAAATACAAAGTACCATCAGAGAATACTATTAACACCTCTACACAAATGAACTAGAAAATCTAGAAGAAATGGATAAATTCCTGGACACACACACCCTCCCAAGACTAAACCAGGAAGAAGTCGAATCCCTGAATAGACCAAAAACAAGTTCTGAAATTGAGGCAGTAATTAATAGCCTACCAACCAAAAAAAAGGCCAGGGCCAGATGGATTCACAGCCAAATTCTAGCAGAGGTACAAAGAGGAGCTGGTACCATTTCTTCTGAAACTATTCCAAACAATAGAAAAATAGGGACTCCTCCATAACTCATTTTATGAGGCCAGCATCATCCTGATACCAAAACCTGGCAGAGACACAATAAAAAAGGAAAATTTCAGACCAATATCCATGATGAACATCGATGAGAAAATCCTCAATAAAATAATGGCAAACCAAATCCAGCAGCACATCAAAAAGCTTATCCACCATGATAAAGTCAGCTTCATCCCTGGGATGGAAGTCTGGTTCAACACATGCATATCAATAAACGTAATCCAACACATAAACAGAACCAATGACAAAAACCACATGATTATTTCAATAGATGCAGAAAAGGGCTTCAATAAAATTTAACATCCCCTCATGCTAAAAACTCTCAATAAACTAGGTATTGATGGAATGTATCTCAAAATAATAAGAGCTATTTATGACAAACCCACAGCCCATATTATACTGAATGTGCAAAAGCTGGAAGCATTCCCTTTGAAAACTGGCACAAGAAAAGGATGCCCTGTCTCACCACTCCTATTTAACATAGTATTGCAAATTCTGGCCAGGGCAATCAGGCAAGAGAAAGAAATATAGGGTATTCAAATAGGAAGAGAGGAAGTCAAATCATCTGTTTGCAGATGACATGATTGTATATTTAGAAAACTCTATCGTCTGAGCCCAAAATCTCCTTAAGCTGATAAACAACTTCAGCAAAGTCTCAGGATACAAAATCAATGTGAAAAAAATCACAAGGATTCCTATACACCAGTAATAGACAAACAGAGAGCCAAATCATGAGTGAATTCCCATTCACAATTGCTACAAAGAGAATAAAATACCTAGGAATACAACTTACAAGGGATGTGCAGGACCTGTTCAAGGGGAACTACAAACCACTGCTCAAGGAAATAAGAGAGGACACAAACAAATGGAAAAACATTCCATGCTCATGGATAGAAAGGATCAATATTGTGAAAATGGCCATACTGCCCAAAGTAATTTATAGATTTAATGCTATCGTTACCAAGCTACCATTGACTTTCTTCATAGAATTAAGAAAAGCCACTTTAAATTGCATATGAAACCAAAAAAGAGCCCGCATGGCCAAGGCAATCCCAAGCAGAAAGAACAAAGTTGGAGGCATGACACTACCTGACTTCGAATTATACTACAAGGCTATAGTAACCATAACAGTATAGTACTGGTACCAAAATAGATACATACAGCACTGGAACAGAACAGAGGCCTCAGAAATAATGCCACACATCTACAACCATCTGATCTTTGACAAACCTGACGAAAACAAGCAATGGAGAAAGGATTCCCTACTTAATAAATAGTGTTGGGAAAACTGGCTAGCTATATGCAGAAAAGTGAAACTGGACCCTTTCCTTACACCTTATACAAAAATTAACTTAAGATGGATTAAAGACTTCAACGTAAAACCTAAAACTATAAAAACCCTAGAAGAGAACCTAGGCAATACCATTCAGGACATAGTTAGGGGCAAAGACTTCATCACTAAAAACCAAAAGCAATGGCAACAAAAGCCAAAATTGACAAATGGGATCTAATTAAGCTGAAGAGCTTCTGCACAACAAAAGAAACTATCATCAGAATGAACAGATGACCTACAGAATGAGAGACAGTTTTTGCAATCTATCCATGTGACAAAGGGCTAATATCTAGAATCTATATAGAACTTAAACACATTTAGAAGAAAAAAACAACCCCATCAAAAAGTGGGCAAAGGATATTAACAGTCACTTCTCAAAAGAAGACATTTATGCAGCCAACAGACATATGAAAACAAAGTTCATCATCACTGGTCATTAGAGAAGTGTAAATCAAAACTACAATGCGATACCATCTCATGCCAGTTAGAATGGCGATCATTAAAAAGTCAGGAAACAACAGATGCTGGAGAGGATGTGGAGACATAGGAATGCTTTTACACTGTTGGTGGGAGTGTAAATTAGTTCAATTATTGTGGAAGACAGTGTAGTGTTTCCTCAAGGATCTAGAACCAGAAATACCATTTGAACCAGCAATCCCATTACTGGGTATGTACCCAAAGGATTATAAATCGCTCTACTACAAAGACACTTGCACATGTATGTTTATTGCAGCACTGTTCACAATAGTGAAGACTTGGAACCAACCCAAATGCCCATCAAATGATAGGCTGGATAAAGAAAATGTGGCACATACACACCATGGAATACTATGCAGCCATAAAAAAGGATGAGTTCATGTCTTTTGCAGGGACATGGATGAAGCTGTAAACCATCATTCTCAGCAAACTAACACAAGAACAGAAAACAAAACACCACATGTTCTCACTCATAAGTGGGAGTTGAACAATGAGAACACATTGACACAGGGAGAGTAACTCACACACCGGGGCCTCTCAGCGGGTCGGGGGCTAGGGGAGGGATAGCATTAGGAGAAATATCTAAAGTAGATGATGGGTTGATGGGTGTAGCAAACACCATGGCGCTCGTATACCTACGTAACAAACCTGCACGTTCCGCACAAGTATCCCAGAACTTAAAGTGTAATTAAAAAACAAAATTTTTAAAAAAGAACTCATTTCCTCTGGAGCTAGGAATACCTCACGTTTCTTACAACAAATAACTTGCATTAAAATGCAGTTGACTTTTTCAGCAGAGACCATGATTAAACAACATGAAATTTAGGCAGAATTCTGCAAAAACAGTCCCATGAAATACCTAGAAAAGTTCATTCAGCCTCATTTGGTTTTATGACTTCCCACTGGTTCCTAGAATTTTGCTCCTAGCTGCCTTTCCAGGAAATTTGCAGGACTGCTGAAATGTATAGTCCTGGTAAGGTTTCTCAATTAGAATTAGCCTCAGCAATGGAAAAGCATCAGTACTCAGAAGAGAATCCCTAATGTGGCATGTAGAAGCTCAGGGCTTCAGTGTCTCTTTGGACAGAGGAAGTATGTGAGCAACACCATGAGCTAACCACATCTGGGATGGGAGGATGTCACACGTGGGTGGTACCTTCATGCGTAGTAGAGTTCTCCTGGAATGACAGCAGTCATGACTGGGTGCCCCACCTGCTCGCTGGCTTCTATACATGGGGCAGCCAGACTATGTACCTAGGTATTGTCCTATTCTTCTCATCTTCACTCATCTCATCCCAAACCTGGAAGCTGCTGAAAGGTTTCTCACAAAGACTGTGTGGATGCTTTCTGGAGATGAGTCTTGCCCACTCTGATCAATTCCTTTTTTTTTTTCCTAAATGTTTTGCTATCTCTCTCAGCAGTTGGTTTTAACTGACCTTTGAGAATAGTCTCTCTGACTGAGGTCTGGGGGCATCTACCCAGAGTGGGTGATCCACTGCATTGGCTTCAATGAGACACTTTCTGAATAAAAATACTCCATACAGACGTTAAACGTCACTGACTTTGAGTCTTAGCTCCTCGTTTACTGATCAAATGAGCTAAGTTTCCTCATCTGTAAGATGAGGGTAATAATTGTACGTCTCTCATCAGGACAGTTGCAAAGGTCACATGAATCTATATACATAAAGATCTTGTTTCCTGCCTGGCAGATAGCAAGTTCTTGTTAAATGTTTGAGTAAGCAGAGAACAAAATCACATGGTCTTGTTCATCCTAACGGAGTCACTGATTATGCCACATTTGTAAGACATTTTGCTCTGATTTTAGAAACACTTCAGTAGCTATAGATTCCTCCAGGATTTCTTGAGTATGTTTCTCCATTTTCTACCTGTACAGACTAGTCTAACAGCCTGGATCCTTTGTCATTAAAGCTGTTTGACACGAAGCACACCAGTGGTTCACGACTTATAAGCAAAATGAAACCCCAAACCTAAGAAGATCAAGCTGAAGCGTTTTCCAGGAGGGGACCAGTTTTGTCACTTCAACTCATTTGATCGAGGCAGTCAGAGCATTTGGATGAGCTCCAAAAGGAAATGATGCTGCACACACCTTATTAACTCCAAGGCAGTAAAAGCAGTGCCTTTTTTACTCAGGAGAGGAAGCTACTGGAGCCAATGGAGCCTGAGGGGAGTTGTAAGCTCGGCCAGAAAGAGAGAATGTCGCATGATTTGATAAAACGTTGTGTGATTCAAGAAAATGACTGAAAATGTGGAGACAGCTGGCCACCCATGAGGAATTACCTACCAATTCCTTCTTCTTCATGCACTCCATAAGGATGATGAACAGATGCTGAGCTTGGGTTCGAGTGTATGTGAAAGTCTTCTGTATAGTCACCAACAGCTGGTCCCTCAAAGATTCATTTATCAGTCTGCAAATAAAAACAACGTCAAAAGCAGGTCAACCAACTCCTATTCAGCACATATTTCTGAGAAATACAGAGCTCAAGAGGGAATTATGAGGGTTTACTTTAGATAGGAGTTGCTTCTGTATGTTTCTCACAAAAGGTATCTCACCTGTGATAATTAAAAAAGCAAGGTATTTAAAAATAAATCAGTTTTACTATCTGAGAACCTAACAGAGTAAAGTAGAAAGATTGATTTACATATTTTAATTTTATTTTTCTGTTTTTCATATGGCATGTGTCTAATGCCCTCTTCCTCAAGTTTGCTTATCAAAAAATACCTTCAATTAATCATCTGCATCTTGTTGGTAAGAATTTGCTATAGTACTGTTCTTCACAGTACTGTATAAATCTCCTAACAGCACTGCAGGAGATTTAAATTGCAGTGTCATCTCTAATTGTGGAAATAAAGACAATATTTCATTAATAAGTTTTTGAACATCCATAAGCAGAAATAAGAGTTATGTTTTCCCAAAAATCATTTCATGTAGGTGGCAGGCTGTCTGGCCTATGATTTAGGTATTCATTATTCATGTCAAGCTTTTGCTCTGTTACAGCGAATAGTAAGACAGTATCATGTTGGCTACCTGATTAAAAGATAGTTTTATGCTGTAGAAGAATAAATGAAAACAGGAAAGAGGCATCATATCCAATCAATGCTCAATTATGTCTTGAATATGAATCAATCACAACTAATTTTTAACTTCTTTCTCATTACCCTGGTGAGAACAGGGCTTTCTCTACTAGCCATTAAATGGCAGGGAAGGAAAACTCACTTTATTAATAACAGATACTATTCAAAATCAGGAAGACAAAGCCGCTTTCAAGGACCAGTGGCAAAATTACCATAATTTGCTTAGTATTTTACAGATTACAAATTGCTTTCATAATTAATGTATCAGCAACTCCTAAATAAAATAGTAAAATAAATCATGATCTCAGTTGCTGATTACAGGAACCCTACAGACAAAGCGTTTGTTCTATTTCACAGGCGGGACATTTTAGCCAGAAAGAGCCCAGTGTTTAAATTCATGCAGCAAATAAGTGACAGAGTCATCAGAATCAGAACCTAGTTCTTCTGAATATTTGTACAGGGCTCTTTCCACCACACTATGCTGCCTCTATTTACACCTAGTGGATCACACCACTGCCTCTCTTCATCACTGTGGCTATTTGAGCAGGCAGTTGTGGAGTTTCCTTCAACATGAAAGCAAGACAAACTTTATTGCTTAAAAGAAGGCAAGATGGGGAGCTGGAGGATGTCTTCCGATCAGTGACCTGCTGTGCTCCAGTTTATGTGTGTTTCATCTGAACTCACTGGGTTGGATATTATGACGGCCCTGCTTTGAGGAAGGTGGCATTCCTCATGACAGAACTATACCAACAATCCTGGAAGGTCACTCAGCTGGACGAAGGATTGGGTCACCCCTTCCCCCACTCCTCCAGAGTGTATATTCTATATCAAGAATATACACATTAAGGCTGGGCGCTGTGGCTCCCACCTGTAATCCTAGGACTTTGGGAGGCTGAGGCAGGTGGCTCACTTGAGCCCAGGAGTTCGAGATCAGCCTGGGCGATACAGTGAGACCTTGTCTCTACAAAAAATTAAAAAGTTAGTTGGGCATGGTGGTGCATGCCTGTAGTCCCAGCTACTTGAGATGCTGAGGTGGGAGGATCACTTGAGCCAGGGAGGCAGTGAGCCAAGATCACACCACTGTACTCCAGCCTGGGTGACAGGGCCAGAACCTGTCTAAAAAAAATTTATTATTTCGAAAAAGAGGATGTTTGAAAAAAATAATGCCAGATCTTCTCTTGAGATTATCTTAATTATACTGAATGACTCTGTGGTCTTAGCTGTGGACCAGATTGAAGTCATTCATTCATTCATTCATTCATTTGTTTAGTCATTCAACAAATGCATAGTGAATGTCTACTTAGTGCCACACACCAGCATGTGCCAGGATCAGAGGAGCTATATATGCACTCCCAGCCTTCAATGAGCTTATGCACCAGTGGCGTAGAAAGATGTGAACCAGCAATCCAACCGTGATTGTCAGTGGAAAAGAAGTAGAGAAGCTTGTGGCAAATGTATCTAATCTAATCTAAGGGATTCAGGGAAGACTCTTCTGAGGAAGGGCTATTTTATCTGAGACATGAATGAGTGAGTATCAGCATAGTTGGGGCTGGTAGGTTTGGATAAGAGAATTCACAGCAGACAAAATGGCATGAACGGGCCCAGTTTGGAAAAAATAAAAGGTCAATATGGCTGGAGCTGAGAGAGCAAATTAAAGAGTGGAACAAAATAGGGCTGCAGAGGGGGTGAGCAGGAACAAGATCAATGGGGAACTTTGAAGGTGATGTTATAGAGATTTTAGGTTTTATCCCCCAGACAATGAAAAGCCATTAAAAGATTTAAGCAGAAGGGTGGCATGATCACATTTGTGTTGCCAATTAATTTTCTTGAAAAGTAAAGACATGCACACTCAGATCTAGGCATGTATCTACCTGACAGGTAACCCAAGTGGATGAGTCTAGAGAGTTCTTCAGTATCAAGCGTCCATTGATTTTGTACAGGATTAACAACAGAAAGGACTCTCCTGATTAGCCACTTGATAGATATAATCATTCATCTGCAGGTGTTTAATTTTGATAACAACTCAAAATTTGTTTTCTACTACCAACCATCTGTAATGAAATCTCAGCTCCCCAAGTTCATTATATGCTTGAGGGATCTGTCTGACACTTGCATCCAATCTGTCACTTTCTAAAAATTGAGGAATGATGTGCAATTTAGCTGATTGTGGGTTACAGTGGTTAGGAGAGCTGAAAGACAGTAAGAATCTCATCCTTTGAGCCCAATTTCCCAGTTGCTGAAGTTATGGCTTTGGCTAGATCATTTAATGACAAGAACCGTAGAATTCTAGAAGTGGAAGGATTCTCTAGGGTGTTTTCCAAAGTGTGGGATACCTGTTACAGGTGGAACAAAGATATTTTGATCTATTCAAAGCATCAAGTTACAGCAATTAAATATTAAATAACTGCCCTTTCTGATTCAGTTCTTTTTCCATCCTTCTGATTGCAACAAGAAGAAAATCTCATTTTTAGTGCTTTCCTGCCTTTAACAGCTCCCCAACACTTGTAGATCTCCCCTTTTAACAAAGAAAAGATATTAGGTCTCATGCCTTTGGCAAAAAGAGTTTAATAACATTGTTTTAAAAAAGATCCCACAAAACATTTGATGTGTCTGTAGCACGTCATGGTTTAACGTACACAATGGGCTTCAGAGATAATCTCACAACAATCTATGAGGCAAGTGGGATTAATTTCATTTTGCAGAAGAGAAAACTATGCCCTAAAGAGGTTAAACGATTTGTGCTAGGTCATAATGCTTGATGGTCTCACTGTCTGAGTTGAGCCTATTGACTTCAGCCTTGCCCCATGGTGTTGCTGTTCCTGATTTTATTCCAAGTCTTTCATAGTTTCCTAATCATCTGTATCAGGGATGATAAGGGGGAACACTAAATGAAGATAATTGCAACATGCATTAAGTAGTTTGAAGAGTATATTTGCAGGCTGGGCTTGGTGGCTCACGCCTGTAATCCTGGCACTTTGGGAGGCTGAGGTTGGTGGATCACTTGAAGTCAGGAGTTCAAGACCAGCCTGGCCAACATTTCCAAACCCCGCTTCTACTAAAAATACAAAATTAGCCAGGCATGGTGGCACGTGCCTGTAATCGCAGCTACTCAGAGGCTGAGGTGTGGGGATCGCTTGAGCCTAGGAGGCAGAAGTTGCAGTGAACTGAGATTATGCATCACTGCACTCCAGCCTGGGCAATAAAATGAGACTCCATCTCAAAAAACAAAAACCAAAAAACAAAAAAACCAAAAAACCAGTTGCTTCTAATTTTTCATAAGTATTTGCTCTGCTGAACTAGATGTCTTCTGTTTGGGTACAAATGCTTACTCTATCTTCTCTGAAGATCCTTTCTTGTTTTGTAACCATATTCCTTAGGATATATGGAAGCCTGCTTTCTTAAAATTATTATTTTCTAGTTCTTCCCATATTTTCTCTGTAACATTGGAGTGATTTAAAAATTTTTACTGTAATATTTAATCATCAGAAAAATTAGAGATGAGCCTATTTTATATTTCTTTTTATGACACTAGAATATTGACTGAAAATTTCTTGACATCAAAATATGGTCATAGTATTACGTGAAATTTTTATTTTAGAATTGAGCCTTGACAAAGTCATCTTATTTATGGAAACTGTTAATTTGTGGTTCTTATCTACCCATGTTGTTTTTGGTACATCTCAAATTAGAGGGTTTTGTGATAGGAGGTGTAGTCATTGAAGTGAGGCAGATCTCTACACTATGGCATTTGTGTCTCCATTTAAATGCTGCACTTATGATCTGGAGCTTTGTAGATGAGTCACAGAGTAGTTTAAAATAGGCCAATATTCAGCCAGTGCTCAGGGTAACCAACAAAACGCCCTGCAGTTTGCTATTAGTATTCTGTTCAAATGCTCTCAATACAACCCACACATACAAATATATTTCTCCGAATGAATTTAATTACCTGCAAATTACCTGCAATATTAGAGTTTTGTTCCTAGATTTAAAAATGAGAAAATGCATTTAGAATTCAATGGGATTCTAAGAGCTAATCTTAGGTTAATGACTTTCGAGGAAGAGCCCTTCCTGTGACCCCCATAGATATTTTCTATTAGTTTATTCAGTCACAATATGAGAAAATTTTAGCTATATAAAAAAACTTGTTAGTAACACCGCAATTTGGCACTTAAAAGACATAATCACCCACAGAATATCTAATTCTCTAAAGAAAAGTGAAATTTTATCATTTGCTAGAAGCCAAAGCAAATTACTAAATGCTATATTAAGGGCACATAAAGTTACATGTCTTGCCTGAGGTCACAGAGAATGGCATATTTTTCTCCTTCTGCTT